GCGGAGGCTTCGTCGCCGGGGGAAAGAGAGGGAGGAGGGCGATGAATCCTGCAGGGTGCGGAGCTGCCGGCAGGCAGGATGGGTCTGGGCCCCCTGGGGATGCTTGGAAGCGGCAGCGCGATAAGGAAACGCATAGATAGGATGCAAAACCCCCACTTAGGTTGTGCACGTTGGCCCCCGCTCGCCGCGCACCACCGGGGCTTGTTCTTTCCTGCAGAGCACCCACGAGCACCCAGCACAAGCGGGGGGTGTAAGGGACACCTCGGGTTTTGCTGTCGGAGCAAGGATTTGCCGTGTGCCCCGGGGCACGGATCCCTCCCGGTGGCACACACCCACACAGCATCTCCACGTAGGCACGCCGAGGCCGCGCAGCTCACACACAAGCCCTCCACGCACGCACACACGCCTCGGAGCTGCTCCCGCAGGCCTGGGAGAAGACGTGTGGGCCCGAAAGCTGGGCTGCCTTTATTTTCCTCTTGCCTCCTTCCTCCAGCTGGCTCTTCAGGCCACCGGGAGAGAGCCAGAGCCTCTCTCCTCCCACACCTCCAACACATACGCACGGGGCAGGCTCGCTGCAGCCCCGAGCTCTCGTGCAAACGCTAAAAGTTGCTTAGGAGGGTGAAATCCGAGGACGCAGGGCTCTCCCAGCCGCTCAGCCACCAAAGGGTCTGGGTTGAACCAGGGAAAACCCAGTGAGGTGCTGGCGATGGTGGAGCGGGGAAGACTTGGGGAAGATGGGAGCCGCTCCCCCCCGCCCTGGCCTTTAGCTCTTGTGCTTCGAGATTAGAGAGCCCCGGCCTGGCCGCTCTCCGGGGAGACAGCGGAGACCTTTCATGCCTCTTTGAAGAGCCAAGATAGTGTCGGCCTTGGTGCAAGCCCAGGCTGCAGACGGGCCGGGAGGCGCGGGGGCAGCCGGCTATCTCAGCGTGCTATCACCCTGCCTCCCCCCGCCACCAGCCCCATTCCCACCTCCACCCCGCTCCCGGCACTTCGCCATCGGCCACTCTTCTCTCTTTTTCTTCTTCTTTTTTTTTTTTAATTTTTTTACTTTTTTTCTCTTATCCCACTTCCACCCCTTCGCTTTGCCATTCATTTCTGCGGGCTTCCTTATTTATTTATTTATTTCTGCGCCTCGCTTATTTATTTATTTCTGGCAAAGAGGCGGCTAACAAGTAGCTGGAAGCACTGGCCAATATTTAACTAAGATGGCTGGCCATCAGGTCCCTTTTGTTTGCTTGCAAATTAATCATCCAGCGCGCAGTCGGCGCCAGGGTAGATTTATCACACACAGAAGGGGGAATGAGGCGGCCGAAGGGAGACAAAGACTGTTCGCACCTTCCCGCTTTTGATCTTAGATTAGTGCAGCCTCCCTTCATAATACGAGTCTCCGGGGGGCTTCGTCGGGGAGGTCACTCGGAACTGGCGGAAGTTTGCACGCCATTAGGCAGACGCTGGAATTGGAAATCATAAGCGGCAAAACGTTTTATTTCGCTCCGCGGGTGGGTGCGGAGCGCGGTGCAAGGTGCGGGGCGGGCGCGGAGGGCGGCGGCGACTCCGGTCGGTGCCGCGGCGCCGAGGGCGAGCTCCGGCGGGGCGGGCCCGGGGCCCGGGGCGCGGCGGGGCCGGGGGCGGCTGCGCTTGTCCCGCGGGCACCTCCCGGTCCCCGTGAGAGAGCGGCGGCCCGCTTGGGGTAAATCGCAGCAAACTTCTTGGAGCCGCCGGGCGTTTGTTGTGGGCGCTGCTAAAGGGGGAGGCGTAAGGGTTCGGGGGTTCCCAGCGCGGCGGGAGCCCGAGAACCGGTTCCGAGCAGAGGTTGGAAAGACTCGCTCTCTTCCGCCGATAAGCAGCTGCACAGCGCAGCCGAGCGCTGCGCGGGTAGCCAGGCTCCTGGCTCCGTGAAACACATCAGACTTCTCCCCCCCCATCCTCTTTGAACGCATTACTCCCGCTTCCTTTCCTCCCTCCTCCTCCTCCTCTCTTCACCCCCACCCCCGACCAAAGGGGAGATATTTTGGTGAATGCAAAGCGATCCTAGACGCTGGTTACTACAGGGACTTCACCAAGCTGGCGCCAAGCGCTCTTAACCATGTGCGTCAAAAATGCAATGTTAGAAGAGCTAATCACTTTAGAGGTTCCGCTCCCATCTGCGCGCAGCCAGCGCCGAGCCCCCGCGCTCCCCCGCTCCGCTCCCGGAGGATTATCCTCCCCTCTTTAAGGCAGGGTGGGGGGCGTCAGGAGATTCCCCCCTCCCCCGTCCCCAGGGGAGAGTAATGATTCGGCACCTCCCAGCGGGGGGATATCCCCCCTGACACACGCGTGGGCGCCCCGTGCCCTGCATACCCACGGCTCCCACGACACGCACAGCCGCAAGCCTCCTTTCGCTTCCCTGTACTGTCAACCCCCCCGCCAAGGAATATGTCTCCCCAGAAACTTCCCAGGAGGATCCTGCCCAGCTCTTCCCTCTCCGCGGGGTCGGATCGGACCCACGCGTGACGCTCTCCCCAGGGGAGGGGGCCTCTGGCTCCACGCGAGCCCGGGCACGGGGGTAACCCGGGGCTGGGCCCCCCCGCCCGGCGCTGCCCCGGCCCGGGCGCAGGGAAAGCCGCACTTCCCGTCTCCTCCCCGCGCACCTCGTGGAAGAGGAGGGGTGTGGGAGCGTAACCCTCTCGGCGCCAGTGCCAGCCGAGTGGCCTTAATCCTCAGAGCCAGAGAAAGGAAAAAGGGAATAATAAATAAATAAAAATCCCATTTTCCAGCCGTCGCCCCTCTTCCCTCCCAAGCCCCCGCCGCGATCTGCAGCCGCCGGGTCCGGGGCTGAGCCGGCGGCGGCCGCTGCCCGCCCGCCGCAGCCTCCAGCCGCCCACCACAACAATAATAGCGGCGGCCGCGGCCGCTGGAGCCGCCGGAGCCCAGCCCCGAGCCGGGGGGAGACCCGCAGAGCTCCCCCCCCGGGCCGCCCCTCCACCTCCCGGGGGTCACCCCCAGATTTGCGGGGGCAAGGAAAGCGCCCGGCTGCCGGCCCGGAGGGGTCGTTTAAAGAAAGCGACTTTCCCGGTGGAGCGGAGGGGGGATGGAAAACGGAGCGGGGGATCGGCAGGGAAGGGTGACACCAACGCGGCGGCTGCGGGGATGGGCGTGCGGGGCGGCGGGGCCCGCGGCCTCCCGAGGTGGGTCCGGGGCGGGGGGGGACACCCGGGGTGCCCCTCGTTACGATACCAGCGGCGTTTGGGGAGGGAGGGGCTCGCAGGTTCGGACCCCAGCACCAAGCGTGGAGCCCCCCCCGGTCCCGGCGCTTTGGAAGCTCCTACCGGGGGAGAGCGGGCGGGCACTGCCCCGGAGGCCGGGGCCGGGGGGCGAGGCGGCCCCCAGTACCCCCCTAGAGGCGGGCGCTGCCGGCCCCTTCCCTCCTCCCTCCCTGCTCCCTCCCCTCTGATCATGTTGACATATTCACACGGCCCGGAGTACTAGTGATGCTTTGCTGCAGCGTTACAGTTTCCGACACCTTCTTTTTATAACTCGGCGCTGTCCCCCTCCACCCGAGCTGTCAGAACCCCGCCTATGGAGCCTCACAATTGGTCCGAAAGCGTCAAAGAGCCAATCAAGGCGGCTCCAGCTCCCCTGTAACCCACAACACATCCCTACGATCGGGTGCACGCAGAGCACAGACTCACAGGGAATTCTCAGAGCCGAGAGGCTCCTTCTCCCTCTCTCTCTCTCTCTTTCTCTTTTTCTCTCTTTCTCCCTCCCCCCTTTTTCTTTTCCTTTCTCTTTCCCTCTCTCTTTCTCCCTTTCTCTTTTGCGGAGACAATAGTATAATTCTGCCAGGTTTTTTTATTTTTTTTTTTAAGGCAGAGCGAAAGAGAAAGAGAGGGGGGAAAATTAAAAAAAAAAAAAAAGAGGAGGGTGAAAGAAAGAAGAGATTCTGATGGGAATCAGGGCACCCTGACCAGCTCCTGCTTGGAGAGGGGGAAAGGCGAGGCGGAAACGAGATTTCCCTACAAGTTTTTGCTGCTGAAGGTTGCTCAGGAGCCTTTCTCGGCCGGCGAGGGGGGGTGGGTTTGTTTGCTTCTTTCTGCTTTCCCTCCTTTCCCAGCCTCTGCTCTGCAGCCTGACCGTACGGAGGAAAGGTGGAGGGGTGGGGGGGAGGGGGGGCAGAGCCAGCCACCCAAAAAGAAAACCCAGCTTCGAGCCGTCACCCTCCGCCACGGAAGGAGAGAAAGGGGATTGGGACTAAGAGAAAAAAAGAAGAAGAAAAAAAAGGATCTCGGCTTGTCCAGCCCTTCTGCGGCAACAGGAGCAGACAGCAAACCCGGTGGATTTTTTTTTTCTCTCTTCTTCGGCGTTCCTTTTCCAGCGCAAGGACTTCTACTCAGGAAAAAAAGCCCGATCAACTAAAAAGCAAAACAAAACCTCAGAGACCGAACACGAAAAAAAGCAAGACTAATAATGAACAATCCTGTTAATCCGCTGTCTCGAGGGCTGGGGATGTGCCCCGGCTCGGAAAGTTGTAGGCTGTAGAAGTTCTGCCTCTCCCCCATGTACTGTGCTATCTAGAGCTTCTTTACCCCACCCTATTTTTATTTTTTTTATTATTATTTTTTGGTGCTTTATTGCTGTTGTTGTTATTATCTTAATTTTTCTTCTTCGTGATGTGCTGTTAGAAACCACTCCGGGACTACTCCAGCAGTAGGAAGACCGAGGAGTGGAGTGGATGAATTTACCGATGAGAGATCCAGTAATCCCTGGGACAAGCATGGCTTATCATCCTTTTTTACCGCACCGGGCACCGGACTTTGCCATGAGCGCTGTGTTGGGACATCAGCCTCCCTTCTTCCCGGCTCTGGCTTTGCCTCCCAATGGGGCAGCCGCCCTTTCCCTTCCCGGGGCTCTGGCTAAACCCATCATGGATCAGTTAGTGGGGGCTGCAGAGACTGGTATCCCCTTTTCTTCCCTGGGTCACCAGGCAGCAGCCCATCTGAGGCCTTTAAAAACTCTGGAGCCAGAAGAAGAGGTGGAAGACGATCCGAAAGTGCATCTGGAAGCTAAAGAGCTTTGGGAGCAGTTCCATAAAAGAGGCACGGAGATGGTGATTACCAAATCGGGAAGGTAGGTCTGGGTCGGGGGTTCGTGCCTTTTTTCCTCCCCTTCTCTCTCCCACCCCTCAGCCTCTGCACCCCACCAGGCTGCTCCAGAGCAAGGCTTTCTCTCCGGCGGCTTTCTCCGTAAATCTCCTTTCACCTGGAATTATGGAAAGTGTTAGGCAGCTGAAGATCCGAGCCCATCTGGGGCACCACGCTGCAGGGAAAAGCCCAGCCACGACCCGGCCGTGCTCAGCGTGTGCGTGTGCAGGGGGCGAGAGGGTCCCTTCATGCTTCAGTAGCTTAATACTTTCTGGAGAAGACTGGGAGCAGGAAGAAAATAATTTGGGGTTGGAAAAGGGGCTGGCCTGGTTTCAGCCTCGCTACACGCAGTTTTTCTTCCGTAAGAAAGAGAAAGAGGAATAAAGGAAAAATCCTTTGGAGCGGCGTGTGGCTGCTGGTGGGGCAGGAGCTGCAGGAGGGCAGATAGGCTCGGTATATCAGCTTGTGCCTCTCTCCGTGCAGGGATTTAGGCGGCGTGTGTGCTAACTATATCTAGAAATGCACAAAAAGGTGACAGAACTCCCCAGCAGTCCTGCAGCCGCTGCTGGAGTGGCAGGGAAGGGTTTGCAGCTCGGCGCTGCCTGTCCCTGTATTTATATAACCTTCACGTGGGAATGAATGAATACACACGGCGCGTCCACGCTCGGCATTTCTGCTTTTTATAGGTTTACCCGTCTGAAATCCCTCTCTATATTCGCTACTCATTGACATCTGGGCTCTTTTACAACTCTGCCTATTGCTGTGATGACACATAGGGTGAAAACCCCCTTCGCGCCCGGGTGTTTTTCTAAGGGGCTCTCTGAGAAACCTCCCCAACTCTCCGCGTGTGATTTGCCAGGAGAATTACTCGAGGAAGCCACTCCTGAAAAGTCTTCTTAGATGGCCTTCAGCTGCCTGCTAGCAGGAGCTTCACCTACTTGCAAAGCACCAGTTGCAGGCTACAGGCTCAGGGGAAAAAAAAATAAATACAAGCCCTAAAAGCAGCAAGGAGGGGAAAAAAAATTCCCCTCGCCCATTTTACTGCTTTCCCGAAGTTTTCTCTGTTAATTGTGGTCAAAAGTTTTTGCGTGAAAGCCTCGGCCGGTATTAAGGGCTCTTACGTGTTGCAAAGTCATGTGTTTCCTTTTAAGTTGAGATTTGCTGAATGCCAACCGCTCGATATAATAAACAGCAAATTTGTGGTATCCTGTTGCAGTTTGGAGCCGGACTTGGGAGTGGAGGGGAGCGGGGTTTGCAGGGAGCCCTCGGCACACGGGGGGATCTCTGGGAGGCTGGAGCACGGGGAGAGCCCCGGCAACCACCCTGCCCTCGCTGGGGCTTTTTTTCTCCTCTGCAAAGTGAAAAACTCCCCTCCCTGCTCTTCATCGTGTGACTGGGTTATAATAATGCAGAATATTTATTTTACCGGGGTGCGATCTGTTCCCATTTCTTTGTTTAGCAGGCGAAAAGGAAACTAATGAGACATCAGAGAGCCCCAAATGGGCCTTTGCTGTTTAGGAATGGCAGAGGTAGGCGCCTGCTGATTTCTAGGGAACGCGTACCTCTCCCTTCCAGGGACCATTTTCTCCTGAAACTTTTAAGCGTTTGAGAAGCCTTTCGGCTGGGGATTGGGGGGGGAAGCTTTTTTGCTGGACACACGCTTACTTTTCTACTTTTGAAAGTTGAAGCAATTGTTTGGTAGACACACTACCGAAATTCAGAAGCTTATTTAAACGCTGTAATTAATTTTATTTTCATCATGTCTTTTCTTTCTCCCCACCCCCCCCTTCCCTCTCTCTGCCCATAGGAGAATGTTTCCTCCATTTAAAGTGAGATGCACTGGACTGGATAAAAAGGCCAAGTACATTTTATTGATGGATATTGTGGCGGCTGATGATTGTAGGTACAAATTCCATAATTCCCGGTGGATGGTAGCCGGCAAAGCTGACCCTGAAATGCCAAAGAGAATGTACATCCACCCGGACAGCCCGGCCACCGGCGAACAATGGATGTCCAAAGTCGTCACCTTTCACAAGCTGAAGCTCACTAACAACATCTCTGACAAGCACGGATTTGTGAGTGCCTTTTACACCTTCCTTTGCCCCCCTTCCCCACGTTCCCTCCCTCTCCAAGCCGGCCGGAACAGGGGGTCCCAGCGCGGGGGGGTCCACCCGGAGCACGGCGACTGCTCGGCCGGGCCGTACCCGCAGCCCTGCTGGCAGCTCCCGCGGGCTCCCGAAATGCGGGGAAAACAGGGAATAAATACCCCTCCGCGCACACGGGGACGAGCATCTCTCCGGTTTATGATAGTCCTTGATTTTTCCCCCTGCTGAGGTCAGGATTAAACGCTGGAGTTTACTCTGTAACCTCTCCGTGCCACTCAGCGTTAACTTTAGAGGTGTATTTCCAGCGTGGAGCAACTCGATATTTCTCGGGGCTGCGGTGACTTTATATATCTATATATATTTTTAATAAAGTCGATCACACTTTTTAAGCGTAGGAAAACGATATGCATATGTGTATAAAGGGCTTAAAGGCCTAAGTACGCAAACCTTTAAATCTATATTAATCTGGATAATGTAAAGCAAGCAGGAGTGAAAATAAACAGGGACCAAAAGCAGAGGTCAAGTTGCCCATTCATGTCTATCCACTCCTTTACATTTACCGGGTGTGCAGAGATAAAAACTTACCCTAAGAGTGAAATCAAACAAACCTGCTGATAAGTGCTCTGAACGATCCTTGCCATTTCTTTCTATTCCTGGGAAAGCCTCCACCTCGGAGCCGGGGCTTGCTGGTGGTGGCCGCGGCCGGGGGATTTCTAATGTGCCGAAGATTGCATTTGCTGCCTGTGATTTGATTAGACGATACATTTTTGCCTTTCGCAGAAGGCCTTAAGTGAATTGGGGCGCGCAATTAGACCGAGCCGAGGCTCTCGTGGTGGTGTTGCTATTGTAGCTGCTGCTGCTTCTTTAGTTGATTTTATTTTTATTATTCCTTTTTTTTTTACACTTTGAAATCAAAAGACATTGCGGCCGGAGCCCAACAGCTTCTCCCCAACAGCTCTGATGGGATTCCCCCCCTTCCCTCAGAGAGGTCCAGCGAGAGCCTAACTCCGGCGAGCTGGAGCTGTCAGTACTTTTAGTTGGATGCTGCAAGGCGTGTGCGTGTGTTTGGAGTGTGCTCGGCGGGGAGGAGGAGTGAGGGGAGGAAGGAGAGGGAAGGCAAATTAGGAGGAGAAAGTGCCGATGGCTGGGGGAAGTGCGAGGCGGGGGTGCTGCTTCTGCTGACCGTTTTCTTTCCCCCCCTCCTGCCCTCTCTGCTGCGGCCGCTGCCCCCCCCCAGACCATTTTAAACTCCATGCACAAGTACCAGCCCCGGTTCCACATCGTCCGAGCCAACGATATCCTCAAGCTTCCCTACAGCACGTTCAGGACCTACGTTTTCCCGGAGACTGAATTCATCGCAGTGACCGCATACCAGAATGATAAGGTAAGGAGATTAAGACAGGATTTGTTTTACGTGTTTTGGCTTTTAAGAGAACTTTTACTCCGCACTGTTCCCTTAAAACTCACGAAGCCCATCCCGTTCTTCTCTCTCTCCCCTCCTCATCTTTCCCCCCAAAACCTCCTTGATCCAACTTCGGGAAGGCGCCGGGGGAGGGGGTCGGGCACTCTCCTAATACCGACCTCGGGGAAGGCAATTAAAAGCGAGGACTGGGGGTTGGGGTGGGGGGAAGAATGCTTAGGGTTTTTTTACCATTTTCTTTTCCCGGTATCGGTCCCCACTATGGGGAAAGGGACGGGGTGGGGATCGCTGCTCTCAGTGTGGATTTAATCTAAGACGCATCAGGAAAAAAAATAAGAAAGACTCGGCTCCGTGTGTCGAAAGACAGAGGGGGGAGAGCAGCGGGGCTGAGATTTTGTAATTCTTCCTGGCCTTTGTGCTGTTTTAGCTCCTTTAACAGCAATTGGCAATAAGGCTGGAGCACACGTCTGGTTCCTATTATTACTATGATATTTTTTTTTTGCATCCTGCAGTGTTTTATTATTTTTTGTGGTGCAGAAATATGCTCTGATCAGAGAGGGGTATCTCACTTGAATTTAGCTGGAAGGTCTGAAAGAGTCCGGGTGAGAAAGTTTTGCAGCGCTGCAGACGCTGCCTTTCCATTTCTTCTGGTTTATTGTCGCTTGCGACGAAGGTGGTATATTCGGGAGAGTGGCAAATGGCGAATTTACGATAATTAAGTCAAGTGGAAGGAAGCGAAGGAGCCAGAAAAGAGGCTTTGATTTTTGTTTTTTTGGTTGGGGTTTTTTTGGCTATAAATTATAACTTTGAGTTCGCGTGCGTTAAGCGTGGAAGGTCTGGATGCGCAGCACCCGCTCGCTGCAGCTTCCTCGTGTCTCTCTTTCTGCCCCTCACATCCTTCAGCTCTAAAAATTAAGGGCTGAAGAGGGGGGATCTGCGCCCTTCTGCCCTCGGTTTCCAAAAAGCCACTTCCCCCTCGGAGCTCGGGCCGTTTCCCTCTCTTTCTGCGGCCCGGCGCTTGCAAGGAAACTGAAAGAAAATGAGTGTACAGAGAGTAGACTTTGCTTTGGGACTTATCAGCAGGGCTGGTCGCCCCGGTCTATCAGCTGGGGCCGGCTTGGTTGAAGGACAGAAATGAGCATATTTGTCTGATTGCCATGAAATCGGCTGGAAAGCGGCGTGCGGGAGCGGTGGGGAGCCCTGGGCTCGGCGCGGGGGGGAGCAGAAGGCACGGCCGGGAGCACCTGGATTAAAAGTCCCGCTGGTTTTTAGCAGTGGGTTTTCCTGCTCTTTCCTCATCCCGTGTGTGCGGCGGGGGGGCGACTCGGGAGCCGGGGCTGGTCCTGCCCGCGCTCGGACGCGGGCGGAGTTTCCTTTTCGTGGTCCTCCTCTGCTCCTAAATTGGGGGTTGCCGCGCTTCCAGTCCGGTCCAAGACCGGGAATGGAGCGACGGGGAGGCGGCATCCTCGTTCCCATCGCCCGCATCCCCCCGCATCCCGTTACAGTGAGGGGAGCCCCGGCCAGGCTCTGAATCCGCCTCCGCGCATCGTATGCGCCGAGGGACTTACGGGATGCCCCGCACCCCCATGGCTCCAAGCAGCCATTCCCTGCCATAACCTGAATCCCGAGGAAACTCAAACCAAAAATCTTCCACCCGCCCCCAAAAAAATACGAACTGGCTCCTGGCACCCCCGGCGCCCCAACACACACACACACACACACACACACACATGCAGAGCATAATGCGATTATATAAAGTATTTTATTATAGCGAGGGGGTGGGTATGATTCCTTTGCGGTTTAATTATGGCATTTAAAGAGTTTTAAGCACAGGCATAACTTGCATGGATCGCATTGCACGGCTCAATTAATTCCGATGTGGTGGCAGCAACACGGGGCTCTTTCATTGCCACCACAGCCCGGGTCACTGGCCAGCCCGGCGGGGGATCGGGGGTGAGCTGCCTCCAAACGACCCGGGAAAACACAGAGATTCCCCCCAAAAACGGGGACCTTTGCCCCCTGCCCTGTCCTCCTGCTGACGGGATCCTACAAGCACTGAAGGGGGGATTTTGCTGTTGTTTTTTAATGTAAAAATCCCCTTATTCTGCCCCCCCGCCTGTTTTTTTTCTCTCCATGCTCTAGATCACTCAATTAAAAATTGACAACAACCCCTTTGCCAAAGGTTTTCGGGACACCGGGAATGGAAGGAGGGAAAAAAGGTAAGTCTGGCTCGATTATACACAGGCACCTCGTTTGGTTTTCATGTGTAAAGCTCAGAACATGAGCAGAGGTCAAAATCACCTCAACTTGCCTCCAAACCACACTTCCCCACGCCAAAATCCATAAGGATCTTGGCGTTAATAACCCCAAACAGATTGCATGGGAATTCTTTCCTGCTTTCCACATTTATTTTTCACGTTGCAGGGGATGACTGGCCAAAGGGAATGCAATACATTAAGCAAATATCACAGGAGAAAGAAGTTTTCCCTTAAAAATTTGAGAGGGAATGTTCCAGTGTAGTTTGTATCTGGGACTGGAGAAGAGGGAGAAGTGAGGGCTGAGCTCTGGTTGAATCTCCTCTGGCATTTTTCTGGGGATTGTATCGAAAAGACTAAAATGTGGAGGAGAAACGTATAAATAAACTGCTTTGACAGAGGTATCTTGTGAATATGGAAGTAATAATGATAGAAGATTCTTTATTTTTTCCCAAAGCAGCAGGACACAGTTTGTGTCCCAGGTAGATGGACAAAACTCATTATAATGGGAGTGAAGATTTTTATTTTTAATATAAGAAGAAAATACAAGGAGAAAATAGAGAAAGGGACTATTTTTTTTTTCCTTTGATGAGGGATATGTCTGTTTTGTTTGGTTACAGCAGACAGGATATTTTAGCCATTTGCACTGAGGTTCAGATAATGAACAAATCTATCTGTTCCTCTTTTTTTTAAACAAAAAAAAAAAGGAAAAAAAGAAGGGGGGGGATGTGATGTAAAACAAGGGGCCTTTCTCCCTGCCCAGCACTGAGCCCAGCACACACACACAAACATGCACACGCCAGCTCCTCTTGTCCGTCAGTGTGAAAATAAAGCCAACGCTGGAGCCACAGGACGGAAATGATTTCTAATTTCTTTCTAAATATAAATAGGTTTTTACTCCGGGTTAATTGTTGGTGAAAAGATTACATAAAGTGCCTAACAAAATAACCACTTCCTAGCAATCTTAGCAACCATTAGGATGGCTCATATCTCTGGAACATCCTCGCGTTATAAAAGCTAATCTCCAGGGAATGCTTCCCTCTCCCCTCCGCCCCTTGTCTTTAATATCTGCCCTCGCTGAGGAGCCGCTCACCGCTTCCAAGAAATCTCCTCTCATTAGCAGCCAAGCCCTGCCTGCCAGAAACACGCTCTCCTCCTCGAGGGGACCATGGCCCTTAATTCCCCTGTACCACTCATCCCAAAACAGGAGCTGAGGAAGGGGCTGGGGAAGGAGGGGGGTGCCGGGGGGTGCCAGGGTGCGCTCTCCCAGCGGGTTCGTGTGCCCGCAGGAAGCAGCTGACCCTGCAGTCCATGCGGGTGTATGACGAGAGGCAGAAGAAGGAGAATCCCACCTCGGACGAGTCGTCCAACGAGCAGACGGCCTTCAAGTGCTTTGCCCAGTCCTCCTGTCCTGCCGTGCCTGCCGTTGGCACCTCCAGCCTCAAAGGTGAGAGCTGTGGCCCCTGGACCCCACCCAGGAGAGCCTGCTCTGTGGGGTGACACATCCCAGCTGCTGCCACTGCCCTCTGGCACTGGCCTGTCTTCCTTCCCCCTTGCCTTCCTTCCTCTTTACTTCTTTTTTCATAATTTTTCTCTTTTTGCACTCTTCTCTCTCTTCCCTCTCTCTTCTTTCTCTCTCTAGTTTGTTGCTTTCTCTCTTCTTTCTTTCCCTCACTCTCCTTCTTGCTTTCTTTCTTTTTCCCCCTCCCTCCTCTTCTTCCCTCATTCCCTGTCTTTCTCACTCTTCCTCTCCTTCTCCCTCTCCCCCCAGCCTCCCTCTCCCTTGCTGCACATTCATCCCTCCCCTCCTCGGTTCAGAAAGGAGCCGGCTCCGAGTGAAGGGAGCAAAGACAGACCACGGGGCAAAAGTTCAAAACTGGAGTCACTCCATTAATATTCTTCTCTGAATCTGTTATTAGAGGAAGGATCTTTCCCCTGGATACAGTCCCGAACTTTGTTATAGAAAAGTCACCCTGGGTTTCTCTCCGCGCAGGGTTGGGAGCTGTCTGCAGCTCTCTCACATGTATTAATCCATCCAGGGGCAGGGAGGAGGGTGCAGGGGGAGGAGGAAACAACCTCTTTTTTGTAGTTGCTCTACTCGTTTTTTTCAAGGGCTGCCGAGCTGAGGGGAGGGGAGCTGGGAGGGGACCCGAAAAGCAAACCAGAGCTTCGCACCTGGGGCGCTGAAATTAGGAGATGAAGTGCAGAGGAATCCATTGGAGCTGTGCATGCGTTCGGGGAGGAGGAGAAGGGGGGTCCGAAGGGTGATGAAGGCGAGTGGGAGGTCGGTCTCTCTCTGCGTTTCCAAAGTTTGCCCATTGAAAGGGATGAAAACTTTGTAAAACTTCGTAGGAGGCACATCCCCAAGGCCCTTCAGCCCAGCCGCTGCTGTCCCAGCACTCTGCTGCCTTTGCTGCGGCCGGTGGGGGGTTCCTGGGGGGTCCCTGGGGGCTCCGGGCAGCCCCGGGGAGCGGAGCCGCTGGCCCCGGGCCCACCCGACCGGAGGGTCTCTCCTCTGGGCTGTCGCTTTGTTTCGCAGCCAATTTTGCTGCGTTGCGTAAAACTCGGGCTGGCTTGTTCGGGGCGGGCGGTGGGAGCCGGGGGCTGTATTTATTTATATAATAATAATAAAAAAATAGTATTTCCATACAAACCTCTGACCGGCCAGGAAGCGTCTCTGCCCCCTGTGGCAGCCCGATGGGGATTTCGGGATGTGCAGTGCCGGATCCCAGCCCCGGGCCCCCTTTGTCTTGCAGATCTCTGCCCCAGCGAGGGAGACAGCGATGCAGACAGCAAAGACGATCCCTTGCTAGAAGGCAACGAGTCGGGCAAAATCAGCACGACCACCGCCGGCACCCCAGCGCCGGCCAGCTCTGCTGCCACCGCGGGGGACGACCCCCGGGAGAAGGGGGGCAGCCCCTCCAAAAGCCACTTCTTCCCCGGGGACTCAGCGGGGAGTAGGAGCCGAGAGAGGACTGAGAAAGCCCCTCCGGACTCCAGGCACAGCCCGGCTGCGATCTCTTCCAGCACCCGGGGGGGAAGCCTGAGCGGCGAGGAACTGAAAAGCCCCCTCAGGGATGGCCCCAAAGTAGATGAGAACCGGCTGCTGGGGAAAGAGCCCTTCGCCCCCCTGACGGTCCAGACCGACAGCACGGCCCACCTGAGCCAGGGACACTTGCAGAACCTCGGCTTCCCCCCTGCCCTGGCCGGCCAGCAGTTCTTCAACCCGCTGGGGAACGGGCACCCGCTGCTGCTGCACCCCGGGCAGTTCGCCATGGGGGGGGCTTTCTCCGGCATGGCCGCGGGGATGGGGCCCCTCCTCGCCACCGTCTCCGGGGCATCCGCCGGGGTCTCGGGACTTGACAACACGGTCATGGCCACGGCGGCGGCCCAGGGACTCTCGGGAGCATCGGCGGCTGCTTTGCCTTTCCATCTGCAGCAGCACGTCCTGGCTTCGCAGGTACCGCAGCCTCTCCCCGCCGCCCCCCCCGGAGCAGGAGGGTTTCAACCCCGGGGGAACAGAGGGACAGCGGGCACCTCCTTTAACCTCCGCACTGCATTGTCCCCTCCACTGCCTCTCTCTGCAGGGGCAGTCACAGCGTTTTGGGGAAAGTCGGAGGAGGGAAAGTCGGGAGGGGGTGGGGGCCGGCCCAGCTCGATCTCCCGGAGCTCTCCCACCCTCCCCGCGGTCGTCCCACTCCTGTGCTCCCTGTGACACTGTGCCGGGGCCAGGCCTCTGCATCCCCTGCCTCCGCCGGGGGCGCAGCTCCGCGGTGTGCGGCTCGTTGGAGCCTGCGGAGCGGAGCTGCCGTCGGGGGGAAGGAGATGAGCCCGGGGCTGCCCTGCGGGTCGGGGGGGCTACACCTGCGGGTACAGGGCACTTGCCCCAAAGAAAGAGAGTCTCGCAGTGAGGAAGACAGGTGCCACGGCCCCCCCGGGCCACGACCCCCGCAGCGAGAAGGGGGCCGGCGGGCTGGGCACTGTGCAGGGCAGAGCATGGGCAGGACCCCGTTGGGTCCTCGTGGTTTTGGCCTCGGCACTGGGAGGACGGGCCTCCATCCCCTCCCGTGGGCAGCAGCAGTTTGGCCGCTGTCAGCTCCCCACTGACGAGGGAGGGTGCTGGCGTGGGGGTGCCGCGAAGCATCTCCGAGGGTGGGTGTGCAGGCCGGTAACCCTTTCGCTTTTCTCTCCTCCCCTCCCGCAGGGCTTGGCCATGTCTCCCTTCGGAAGCCTCTTCCCTTACCCCTACACCTACATGGCGGCGGCGGCCGCCGCCTCCAGCGCCGCCTCCAGCTCGGTGCACCGGCACCCCTTCCTCAGCGCCGTGCGGCCGCGGCTCCGCTACAGCCCCTACCCGCTGCCCGTGCCCCTCTCCGACGGCAGCAGCCTCCTCACCACCGCCCTGCCCGGCCTGGCCGCCGGCTCCGGCGAGGGCAAGGCGGGGGGGCTGAGCGCCAGCCCCGGCTCCGTGCCCCTGGACTCCGCCTCGGACCTCACCAGCCGCTCCTCCACCCTCTCCTCCGGCTCCGTCTCCCTCTCCCCCAAACTGGGCGCAGACAAGGAGGCGGCCACCAGTGAACTGCAAAACATCCAGCGCCTCGTCAGTGGGCTCGACCCCAAGCAGGACAGATCCCGTAGCGGCTCCCCGTAACCCCCCGGGCCTCCGGGAGCTCATTTCAAATCAGTCTCGCAGTGCACTTTGTTTGAAAGAAACCACATCCTCCACCCCGCGAGTGTTTTTTTTTGCCCTCTCCTTATTTTGTTTGGTTTTTTTCTTTCTCTTTTTTTTTTGTTTGTTTTTTAATGTAAAATCCCGCGGTTTATCAACAAAAAGGTATCTGGTGGAGCAACGGGAAGAGGGGTCGGGGATGGGGGAGCAGAGCCGAGCTGGGAGTGCTGGGTCGGAGCAGCCTGGCCGGGCCGAGGCACCGGTGGGGTTTGTGGCATCCTCCTTTCATTTTTTTATTTTTTTTTAAAACAGTGTAAAAAGAAAAACCAAAACACCCAGGGGAGGAAAAAAAAAAGGCAAGAAAAAAAAAACTAAAAGAAAAAAAATAAAACAAAAAATCAAACAGACTTATGAATAAAAATTAAGTAAGAGAAGTGATTTTTTTTTCTTTCCGAAAGAAAAGTGTGTAAGTAACTCGCATATTGGTTCTTCAACAGTTGTTTCTTGGGCGGGTTGTTAACGACAACCCCCTTAGTCGATATTAAGGGAAGCTGTGTGTTTAAAATATTATTGTGATGTCTGAGAGCCAGTCGGTGGCTTTTTTTTTTTTGCATGTTCCATAGTAGTCTGCTTTTTTGTGGGGGGGAGGGGAGTATTTTTTTATTCCGGTGGGGTTTTGTTGTTTATTTTCAATGCTCGTTTCAAATCCCAGGGAAAAAAATTATTAATAATAAAAACTAAAATTAAGACTTTCGTCCCTCTACCTTAAACATCCTCCCTGTAGCAACAAAAATAAGAAGTGTAGTTGGAAAGAAAAAAAAAAAGTGAATTTATTTTATCTAAAAACCTCTGTAGCTTGACTGTAGGTTTATCACAGCTTTCCCTCTTTAATTGTATATGCAATAACAAGGTTTAAACATACTGAGAAGAAGAAAAGAGCGGACACTATTATTAAAACAAAGTATTTATGTAATTATTTGATAACTCCTGTAAATACGTGGAATATGAATACTCGAAATTAAACTTTAATTTATTGACATTGTACATATCTCTGTAAATATGACTGCAGCTGTCTTCTTTTTTTTTCCTTCTGTTTTTATTTTTAGTCGTTTTCATTTCAAGTTTGTAATTCCTTTAAACATACACCCCGACCCAGAGGAGAAATTCCCCCATTTCTGAGGGCTCACTTTTTTAAAGCGGAGCTCAGCCCAGAAAAACCTGACCTCGTCCTTTCGTAAAGGAACCGAATGCAAAAAAGCAAAGCAGAAAGAAACCAAATTAATCAAAGACCTTAAAAGAATTAAAAGAGAGGAAAAGAAAAAGCAACATGCCATGGTAGCTTTTAATCCTCAGTTTCTTCAGTGTTCAAAGCACTGCTTGCCGTATAAAATGTCAACAACAAAATAATAATATACATTAAAACACGACAACAGGCTTCTCCAGTGGCTTGAGAGAAAAAAGAAAAAGGTGAAGATTCTAGGATTTTCTTTACTTTGTTATTATTTTTCCCTCTTTCCTCGGTATGTCAAAACAACCCCGCGATGGAGTTTTACTACTGTGCTTATTGTTGTCTTTGTTTGAGTGAGTGCATATTTTCTTGGGTTGAAAGTCAGGTGCTCGGAGCTGGTTCAAAGGAAAAAAAAAAATGAAGGTATATTTTGTGTTATATAAATGTTGAGAAGTTCTTGCTATTTTTTTTTCTGTAATTTTTTTTCCCTTTTAAAAGTCACTGAAGTTTCAATAAATTTTTATTGAAATGTCTTGGGCGTACTGTGAAATGCCTTCACCCCAACCCTCCCCAAAGTGCCTGGGAGGATGGAGGGGTTGAAAGATATATATCCCTCTTCTGCCGTTCTCCTCCACCCCCCTTTCCTTCCCAATATTAAGATATTTCTCCTGGAAGGAACTAGTACGAACCAGTCGGGATGGTGTCGTTTGAATTGTTGGGGGGGGAGGAGGAGTTTTAAGCAAACTGTTTAATGTACCTTTTCCGTCTTTATCCCTCTCGCTTTTAAAGTCGATCCAGAGGCTACTAAAGTCACCTCTTTTAATGGAACAATATTAAGTGGCGTTTGAAAAGTTAATGAGAAAGGCTCAGCTATGCTTTTATCTGTCATAAATTAATAACGCAAAAATGAAGAATTAGAGAATAGATCAGTTAAATTTTAATGCAGAGCCCTCCTTCAGAGTTTCCAGGTAGAGTGCTCAGGAGTTGATGGTGTTGCTGGGCTCTTTTCTCTTCTGTCCGAGCAGAGGATTTCGCTTTTCCATTAGTTATCACCTGAAAACACATTAATTTTTTTAATTTATTCCCTCCTCCTTCTATTGGAATCGCCTTTTCTCGCCCTTAGGCTCATGATATATTGAGTTTAAGCTAGAAAATGGCTGAAACGGGGATAGACATCCAGGCTTTGGACTGGACCAGTGGCCTGGGAGGTCACTGAGAGGAGAACTGAGGAGAACTGGCAGCCCCTGCCTGTACCTTTGCCAGTCCATGAGCACATCATTTAGCAGAACATATATATTTCTTGTTAATGAGATTTTTTTTTCCCCTATCCCTTCAACAGTTAGTGGCCCGTATATTGGAAAGTGATTCATCCTCCGCCAGTAATAAATATTATAAGGATGTACTTCCAGCCCGTATCCTGTTTTATGCTCTGCCTGCCCCTCGGCCCGTGGCCCCCGGCTCCTGCGCCGGCGAGATAAAGGGAGGAGAAAGTGGCGATAAAGCTTCTTTCACCCCTCAATTTTTTAATTAAAAAATCCCCCCGCAACCATCACACTGTTCGGGTCCCCCTTGGTGGGGGAACGGGACCCTTCCCATTTCAACTTGGGGGTCGGGGTGTATTTCAAATCCACGGTGCTTGCAGCGGGGGAAAGGTTTGGGCTGAGCAGGATTTTTTTTCTCTCCCTCTTCCCCCACCCTGGGATGGCCCAAGGTGATGGCTGCTGGAACTGTCACTTGAGCTGATGCTCCCCTCAGCTGGCCCGGGCGAGGAGGGGGCTTTTAGGGATAGAGGTGGCGTCAGGTCTGGCAAAAGAAATGAAGAAAAAAAAAAGTCCAGCCGAAGAAGCAGGCAGCGGCTGCAGCAGCCAGCCCCGAAGGCTGCAGACCCACAGGCCGGTTTCCACACACGGATCCTCCGCGCGAGTGGGAGCTGGAGCCTCTCCGGGAGGGGGAATGCGGCCCCGGGGGGAGCAGAGCTCTGCCAGCCCCTCCGGGCGGCACAACCATCGCTGCTGCGGCGCTCAGCTCTCTCCTGTGCTCTGAGCTCCGGCCTCAGCGCCGACACACCTTTCCACGCCAGACCCCCGCAGCCCCTTCGCTCCCATCTATTTGGCTTCAGGAATAATGGGGGGAACCTTTATTTTTTCCCTCGCCACAGCTGCTGGTCCCCCTAATCGCTCTTAGAAGGGGAGGACTGTTGTGGTCTGTGTGTGGAGGGGAAAAATTTCCTAGTTGGCGATTAAATTTGCTGTTGATATTCAGAGGAAAGCAACACACACTCATACACATCCCCTCCCTCCTCGTCTCGCTTTCCTGCCGGCCCAGGAGCCCGGTAGCCGCTCCATAGGCCAGGCGGGCACCGGCAGCCCCGGGGCGCCGCAAAACCCGAGCTCACGGTTTATTCTTTTTAAGGTTGAGGGTGCAGCGCGATTGATTTAAACCCCCCTCTTTCCACGGGCCTAACGCTGACCTCCCCCTCTGCCATGCCCTTGCAAGAAATCCGTGTACCGCAGGTGTAACTCTGACTTGCAAATGGCTTTATCTCTTGTGTATCTTATTTGTATATAGTAACGTTAATGAGTAACTCTTGTGGCGCTTGTGGATGGAGGTAAACAGCGAGCAATCTCTCTGGATTATCCTGTCTATTACTCACCTGGCGCCTGTCTTGATATCCTCAATGGTTTTATGGCTGATGCAGGCGACCCGGCGCTGGGTGGGGGGTGGCCGGCGGCGGGGGGGGCTCCGGCGGGGCGCCGGCGCCATCTCTCGGGCAGCCTGGGCAGCGCCGAGAGACCCCCGAAGGGACCTACGGCTCGTGGGAGGGAGGCACAGCACCCACCGTAGAGAGGGGAGCTCGGGGGGTGGTGAGGTGCGACAACATCCCGACCCCCCCATCCCACCCCGGCCCCCGGCCGGGCAGCGCGGCGGAACTCCCCGCAGGCTTCGCTTGGAGCTCAGATAGGTTTTACCCACGGGAGTTTTTAGCCCCGAGTCCAAAGTCTCTGGGAAAGCGGTGCTGGGGCCGCACCGTTCGGGATGTGGGGGGGTAAAGGACGATGCACACCGCGGAGCCGCAGAGACCCGGGGAGGGGGGACAGCGACAGCGACACCCCGTCGGGGCGGGCACCCGCCGTCGCCGGCGCGCTCGGCCCACGCTCCGCTATTAGTTAATTATTGATTGATTACAAGTGAAAATTTATGACCCTCTTCCCCCCTACACCCCCCGCAGCCTCCCGGCCCCTCGCACGCACACACGCTCCTGCCCTCTGCAAACACTCCGGGGGAGGCGGGAGGCGTGTTGTTGTTTTTGGCCTTGACAGCTTCCAGGAATATGAAATATTTAAGCCCTTCGGTCGATCTCCCGTACCCTGGACGCCCTTTTTTTTTTTTTTTAATTCTTTTTCCCCCTCATTCCCCCCCTTTCATGTCCCGGCTCCGAGGGGTCCCGCGGCGGCCGGGCCCCCTCCCCGCACACAGCCGGCGTGCGGGCTCGGAGCACGCCAGGCCTCGCAGATCAAAGGGACCTCTCCGGCCTCCGCACAAGGGAAGAGGGGGGAAAAAAAAAAAAGAAAGAAAAAAAAATAGGCTGATTTCTTTAACGATTGTTCGTAAAAAGTCTTGGAAGCGGGGACTATCCCGCCTCCTCCCTCGCCTCAGGCTGCAGGATTGCACCGGGAAACGATTTTGGAAAGGTAGAAAGAGGGCTTGGGAGAAAGGAGAGAAAAAAAAAAAATAAAAAAAAATATAGAGGAGATGCTTGAAATTTAGCAGCCGCGTGTCTGCAGGAACACACACACCGTCCCGGGTGGGAGCTCGAGTCGCAGCTCCGGGTGGGCAGCGGGGTCTGGGCCGCGCTCAGACGTGTGTCCTTCAAAATGGGGCGAACCCCAAGCCCCTGAGGGTGCCCGTGTGTGTGCGGGGGGCGGAGGCAGGGCGCGCCCCCCAAGTTTCTGCAGGTCCTGCTGCCGGGAGACCCGGGGCGGGGGGTCCTGCACCCCGGTGACCGCAGCGCGCTGCCCTGTCCGCGGCTGAGAGACGGACAGGCGGAGGGATGGACGGACGGACGGACGGGTCTGCTGTTTGTTGTCTCGGGAGGGTAAATGGTCTGATGTGGCGATCGCCTCGAGGCGCTGGCGCTTGGCACGGCGGAGGCGAGCAGCCGTGGCACCCTGTGGAGACCGCCCTGCTGCCCCCCCGGTCCCTGTCACCCCGGTCCCTGTCACCACGGCCCGGAGGGACAGCCGGCCAGGCGGGTCCGTGCTGGAGGCGCCGGGACGGCGGGGCTGGGATCAGTTTATGGGGGAAACGGAGCGGGAAAAACCTCCCTCCTTCGGCATCTACAGCCGCGCCTTGCAGGGAAACCCCCGTCCACGGGGGCACGGAGGCACCCCCCGAGCCTTCATCCTCTTACACACAGCACAGGCACATACTGGGAGAGCAAACAGACCCACACCGGGACATTGCGGCCCGTGGAGCTGGGGGCTCGCATCACATTATCCCCCTGACCCGCCGACCTCTCCCGCAGCCCGCCCCGCACCCATCTCCCTCTGCACCTGAAGCCTTTTGGCTGCTTGTGGGGAGAAAGAGCCAGCGGCTCCCAGGGCACCAGCTCCGCAGGGTGATGCCTGGGGATGGTTTGGGGGTTTTGGTGTTGGCGTTTGTGTTTTGGATTTGGTTTGTTGGTTTTTATTTTTTTTTTCCAGTCAGCCCCAAACTTCCCACGTGCTTCTCCCCAAAGCCCGCATTATTAGGGAATAATTAAGGCGTGTAAAAACATGGCGAGGCGAAGCCTTTTAGCTTGAAGTGGCCGTTCAAGGCGCTGTTGGAGCTCCCGGCCTCAGTTTCTCGCCCTGGGGCGAACAGGGTGAGCCCCGAGGTCGGGCCGAGACTCCGGGACTTCTGCGGGACTCTGGACCTGCGCTTTCCTCATCTGCCACCGCTCCTTGGAAGCACAGCCGCCTCGTAGACACCACCTTTGGGTTTTCTCTTTTCTAATCCATCTTTTCTTTCCTTTTTTTTTTTTTTAATGATTTGATTATTCTGGAGTAAACACGTAATCATTATTTTTAAACACTCTCAGCCGAAACAGAGTTCGACCTCTAGCGCAGGTAACCGCGGCCGTAATTCCTGCTGAATTTCACCTTGGTCTCGCTAAACTCAGCTTTCCACTCACTCTCCCAAATTAAGACTTTCCTAGACATGGCATTGAAGAAAAACCCCCAAACCAACACCAAGCGGGCTGGGCTGTGCGAAGCCGACCCGACCCCACGGACATCCC